ATTGTGTGTACGATTTCTTGAAAAAAAGTATTGAAATCTCACCAAAAACATGCCTGTTAAAAAGGGGGCCAAGTTCCAATCGGCTAATTGTTTGCCTAAAAAAGGGGTGAAATCCAATCTAATGCCAAGTTTAGATGCACTTTGAAATCGATCATAATCATCTTCATCAACAGCATGATCCACTGGTAAACATTTGCCATTCCCAAGACTCGCCTCCACACCCAGTCCTCTGCCTTCCACATCCAGCCACTACCCGCCACCTTATTCACGTCAACCGTCCATCTGGCCGAAATTCACTTTACCATACACCCAACTTAAAATATGGTATAGTTGTGAAAATACGTAGGTGCTTGGTTAAAGATATCTAAAATTATAATACTTCTAAATTTGAACTTGGCAGGTTAATTTAATTATTTAAATTATATAATATTTAAATTATATAAATAATTATATAACTAAATAATAAATTAATGATACAATTAATTAAGTGTTACGTACAGCACAAAAACCTTGAGGTATCAATCAAACCTTGTCATTGAGGTATCAATCAAACTATTGAGATGTCACTAACTGGTAATGTTATAGTACTTGTCACATAACTTATTGTCACCTCACACACGACAATCTTATATTAATATTCGTATGTGTTCATCTGACCTTCGCCATGAGTATGTAGTGATACTTAAACTTAATTTTTCGCAGATTACTGGGTTGTCTGAGGGGGATAAAGTCGATGCTACATCTCTCCAGGTTTCTGAGTATCGTGAGACAACATTAACATTTGTGAAATAAAAAAAATGCGGTTAGTTACCACGAGAGAAATAATACAATACAATACCTACTTCGTATCCAGTTTAAGCAATTTAAGAGTCTTCAAGGCAACAGTGGAAAAGTTATTACTGACCGCTGGGAGAGGGAATTTACAACCTTGAGCTTCATTTCTATTAATCATAAAGTGGAATAACAGTTCCTCTTTATCGAGCCTGGGTATATAAAAAAAACCTATCGTAAAACTGTATGCCTAGAGTCCTCCGCGTGTATTATGAGATTGACATATTTGTTCATGAAGCTATTCATCCTGGAGGAACCTCTTCCAGGAGTCAAAGTTCCATCATTTGTGTAGATCATTATCACTATGAGAGGCCGAATGAAAACTATTAGAACGTGGAGGACATCACACGCTGGGAATTAGTAAATTAACTGACGAAATTGCAACCAATCGCACAAATAGCCCAGACTCCCGTATTCAAATACGTATATTAGATTTTAGATACATATGTTATAATTCGGATGTCCAAAACAAATAACTCTAACACAGACTTTTAACACGCAGAGGGTTTCATAAATTTGCTAATGTTAAAAAACTATATTACTTTCTCAATATAACTTTTTTATGCCGCCGGAGACGTGTCAATGAAACTAGACTATATTAATTATTATTATTAGATTTATATTTAATAACCAAGTGTACCAAGACCGATTCCCCACAGTCCAGGACAGCGACCCGATGTACTTGTACTGATTTTTATTTAGTTCTCGCACTAACGCTAGTCATCTCCTGAGATATGTGAGCACTGAGCAGTGAGCTACAGCACGGAACAGGAAACATGTCCTTCTAATTTACTCACTCGGTCGAGCCAGCTTGTTCCTAACGCACAAGATATAAAGATCTCAAGATAGGTCTGACAATACAGCGACCATCACTGAAGTGATATGAATTATTGGCTACTTGACAGTTTGGGAAAAAATATTTTAAAACCTTTTTTTGATTTTTTTTCTTAGTTATTTTTTTAAAAAAACCTTATTTCATAGATTAAACAAATGTATTTTATCCATTGATCAGAATTTTTCGTTAAAACAGTCAGTACTGTAACATTTGCAAGCTGTGACGTCATATTTAGATACGACAAAGTTAATACAAAGCATTAACTCTTATGCGTATTTGAATGGAAAGTTAAAAGAGTTTTTACTTGAATTATGAAAATAATAATATTCAAGACGTGTGCCGTATCTGTGTACAAGAAGGAAAATTAAATATCCTAACAAACTGTTTATATAAATGTCTAAAGCAGCGGTTACAGTTAGCACTGTTCTGTGATAGCAACTGATTGTGAGATTCACAGTTGACATCTGATTTGTTGCTTTGGGTTTCAAATAAGGACTTGTCAACTTTTTTTCAGAATAAAATGATAACCATTTGAGATGTTTTTAAAATTAGTTTATCGGGTTGAAGTAAATTCAAAACATTTATGAATAGAACTGGACTTATCTTATTTGGCCACCGCGGGCACTTTTGCAGCGGTCGATACGTTGGTTCCAATTTTCCATGACTCAGCCACAAAGGAGATCATTCTTTTTGGGCCTTTTTTAAAAGTGCCGGCCAACAAAAAAATGGTACATATTTGTAGAACTAACCATTTGGAACAATAGTTAATATGGCGAAAAAGCTGTAGGATCCAAGATATAGAAGTTATACAAGTTTCAAGATTCATCATTTTGGTACATTTATTTTTTTCTGAAAGTGCCAAGAAACATAAAACAAATGATTGATATTGCTAGAGTTAAGCTTCTCAAGCAAATCATTATAGCCATAATCTGTTAGAAACCTGTCGTTTTTATGTAATACTAGTTTTGGCCCGCGACTTCGTCCGCGTTAGTTTGGTCAAGAAGTAATATATGTAGGTATAGCTGACCAGGCGAACTCTATTCCATCTTAGAGGCCATAAATAATTAGGTTTTTCCTGTTTCAACCAAACAGAATGATTGACATATTAGTTAGATGTCAAATCTAATGTCAAAAGACATCTTAAACAATAAAGAAAATAGCATTTTATCCGGCCCACTAAGACTATTTACGATAATTATTTAATTTATATTTTTAATAATATTTTAAAATGTATACTCCTCTAGCCTTCCCATTTATGAATTAAAATGAACTTATGGCTGAATACTTTCAAAAAGTACACAATTATGTTTTTTTATTATTTAATGTGGTCATACGCTTTAATAAACATCGAAACATATTTTAACAAAATTAAGAGTAAAAATATTTGTTAATATAATATAACTTATTTTCGAGTCATGTTACAATTCTGTCACTTCATCTGGCGGAATTCAAAGACTTAAAAAAATATAAAAATCACAACTTTGTACTTTGGATCTTGACGAACGGGTGAAAAACAGCTTGAAATTAGAGGCAAGCTAAATAATTTGAGCAAAATTTAATAAAAAATTGATCAGTTTTCGATAAACTTTCGGAAAGTAATTTTGTGCCAGTCGTTGGAGTATTCCCTTTGGTAAGCATATAAATTTGTATTTTATCGTTACGAAATTCTTAATTTCTATAATCAATGTTTATTGTCCTTAGATGTCATATATTAACTTAAACTGATGTAAGAAAAGCGACTGATGTTAATTTCAATACATTATGTGTGATTTTGTCACTTCTCTAGCGTCACTCCTCTAGCATATTACATACATGATAGCCAGAGGAGTGACATTTTTTTTTCAAATAATTAAATTGAAGTAAATAGACGTTTTATTTGACACTAGTAAACCTGGCGAACTCCGTTTCGCCTCCAGAAGGCTTTGTTTTATGTAACATTTCGTTTGGTGATTAAAAGATGAAGATTTTTTTTTTGTTTTATATTTAAAAAGGAAAATATTTATTTCATTTCACAACGGTAATGAATAATTCATTTCGATTAAAAAAATGAAGTGTTATTTAGTTGAACTTCTCTAAGTAAATGAAAATGAATCCAAAGTAGATACCGAATCGAAGCGTTATATGTACGTGTCCGCAAATTATCCGTTTCATTGAAGTGCTACTTTGTAAACCACATTTTTTGTTTTTTGGTCTAACGTTAACACAAATAAAGTGGATGGTTTCCCAACTCGTGAACACACAAACTACATATAACTGCCCATGTGAAAAACAATGATTTTCTAAATTTATCTGTCAATTGTGTTTCGTTATTCCACGTTTTATAGTGGCTGAAGTTTCATGTCAAGTCCTACGGGAATGCTGTCGAACGGGATAAAAAGTATGCTACCGCAATTTCCTGGTTCTAAACTACCTCCCTGCCAATTTTCAGCTAAATCGGTTCAGCCGTTCTTGAGTTATAAGTGGGGTAACTAACACGACTTTCTTTTATATATATAGATTAGTCAACTTTCTTAGCTAATAATAATCATTGGTATGATAATACCCGGATTTGTTACTACTCTGGCAACAGTATCACTCTTCTGGTAACACATTTCCCTCTGGTGCTTATAAAAATAAAAAAAATAATTAATAATCGTCTGGCCCCTGTGATTACTAATTTAAAAATAGCGTCAAATAAATAAATTATAAATATTGCATGGAACCGATAACATTTCCTTCTGGGACACGAAAATACCAAATAGCGTATATTCATCCTTATAATGTTTTGTTTCTTCTTAACGTGTTTAATAAATACTAATAATTCCTAAATACCGAGTAAAGCTCGGTAACCAAATATTAAATACTTAATAAAGTGACGGCGACAGTTCGATGTAAAGTGAAAAGGTGCGTTCACAAACTAATTCAAAATTGTCAAGTCCCTATTGGAACACCCCTCAACATATTTCATATTTTATTTTGGCAACTGTTAAGTAGCTTATTAATGTAGGTGAAAAGAACAGTCAGGTACACAATCATGAACAAAAAAGAAACAAAAATAACTAAAGTTCAGAAATGTTAATTTTCTTAAACACACTACTCAATTTAAATATAATGTATACATTGTTTCGTGGTGTATACATATTATCTCGACCCCGCGGGTCACAAGAGTCAGGGCGAAGACTCTAACATGTTATTAATGTATTGTTCATCCGATCTTGTCCGAGTCACTGACCACCACTTTACTGAATTCAATATAGAACCTGACGAGTATAGTAACAGTGAGTTGTAAGGTAAATAAGACAGCGGCGGGTCTGTATTCAAAGAGCACATATAATATTATAGTACATAGTGTTGTTTATAGTCGTGTGAGGTGGTGGTGCGGGCCGGCCAGCGCGTGCTCCAGGTCCCGTCGCCGCGCGGCCAGTCGTCCGTGCAGGTAGCGCGCCACCCCCTCGCCCGCCCACGCCTGCGAGTAGAACGACGAGCGGCGCTCCTCCTCGGGGTTCCCTCCTCCCCCTGCCCCCGCTCCCGCTCCCCCGCCGCCCATAGTCTTGAGGTCGCGCGACTGAGACACCAGCCACTTCTGGATGAACTGCTGCGGGTCCTTGCTGAAGCTCAGGAAGAACTCCCGGTTCGTCTTCAGCTGGTTGATGGTGTCCACCTGTAAGGCGAGCGAGCGCTGTAGTGACCTATGACCTGTGAGGTGTGAGTCTGTGTGTGTGAGGACTCACCGTCTCGTGTATCTTTGAGTCGAGCCCCTGTATCTCCTGCTGGTTGGCGGTGCTCATGAGGAAGCTGTTCATCTGCGCCTTGAGCGTGTCGTCCACCTCCACGTCGATGTCGTAGCAGGCGGTCTGCTTGGCGTCGTGCGGCGGCTCCACGGAGATGAGGTGGTTGATGACGATGGGGTCGGGCGCGTGCAGCAGGGCGCCCAGCCGCGCGGGCACCTCGGCCAGCTTCATGCGCGCGCAGCCGAAGATCTGCTCGAGGTACTTGTCGCAGACGACGTACTCGCGCTCGTGCGGGTCCTGCAGCTTGTGCGTCTTCACGTACTGCCAGAGCGCGTTCACGATGACGGGGCGCGCCTGCGTGTGTACGCCCAACAGCCGCGCCAGGCGCGCGTCCAGCTTGAACTGCAGCGGCTGGTAGTCGAGCAGCAGCAGGATGGTGCAGCGCACGTTCTTGTAGCCGGGCCGCTTCACCTGGAAGCCGTCCGTCTCCTGCGTGGTGAGCGTGCGGTGCCACTCCACCAGGTGGTTGTCGGGCCCGTACAGCTCCTTGTCCAGCTCGATCACCAGCGACTTGAAGAACGACGAGAACTTGCGCTTCACCTGCGGAGTGGAACACTCGATGAGACTCCGTCACCGTTACCGTCGACCGCCAGGGGTCGCTCTATTAAATGTGGTTAAAGAACTTTATTTATTTCTCATAAAGAACAATGTTCACTTGAATGAGATGTATTACATAGTTCAATTCAAACAACAATTCAGTACAGTAGCAACGAACCATACAACTCAAGAGCGGTTAATCCAAGTTTTTCATCAAAAATTTCGTCAGGCAAGCCATTATATAGTTTCGCTCCCTCAAACTGTATACTTTTAATTCCATATTTGTTCCTGGTCTTGGGTAATTCATGTTTGTGTTTATGTCTCGTGTTATGTTTATATGTTTTAGTTTTAAATGTTATTTGTGTGTGTATTGTTTTTGTAAGTATTTATCTAATTAATATGCATGTTTTATATTTGTATAACTGGTTAATTGATAATACATTTGTACGTTTATAAAATGCTTCAGTTGACATGTACTAATCTAGATGAAACAATGTTTTTAGTAATTTATTTTGCGAAATCTGAAGATCCTTTATATTAGTTTTTAATGCACTTCCCCAAATTTCAACAAGATATTCTAATAAAGGTTTGATAAGTGAGTTATACATATATTATAATACGAATCTTGTGTGATATACAACGTGATGATCTACGTATAGCTCCAGGTATGTATGTAAGAATCCGATTCAGACCTTGTTCGGATCATTCTTGGAGTCGTCGAGGAGCCGTCCTTCCACTCTGAGTTCCCAGGAGGCGACCGCGTTGTCACCCTGACCTGGAATGTTAAATGATTCAGGTGAAATAGGACCGTGACCTCGTGTCACCGACGGTCTGCGCGGTTCGTGTGTGGAGGGAGTCTCACCGGGATAGAAGGTGTTTGATATGAATATCCTCAGCTTCCTCTTCTGCTTCATGGGTCTCTTGAGCGCCTCCTGTATGTCGAGCCTCTTCCTCATGATGGTCGCGTCCAGCTTCCTCTCGAAGGCCAGCAGGTCCATGTATGCCTGTGACTCCGGCACCAGGTCACGCACCTTCTGCGGCAGCACCTTGTCCGCGAGGCGTTTCTTCCGCTTGCCGGCGCCCACGTAGCCCTCGCTGAAATCGAACCGGGAACGACTAAGTATGAACAAGGTCGATCGTCCGCCTACATGTGACAGGGATAGTGTCGTACCCTCCATAGTGTGTCTTGTGTGTCGGCGGGAGAGGAGCGCGCTGGTCCGGCGGTCGCTTGACGGAGGGCGCGGGGGCGGGGGGCCGGGAGCCGGGGGGCGGAGGACCCGCGCCCACCGGGTACTGAGCGGGCCCGCCGGGACGAGGCGCGCCCACAGACACCGGGCCCGCGCCCGCCGGCGGGGGAGTGAACCCGCTGCGGGGCTGGAACATGACACACACAACGATTATACTATGAAATACTGAATGGATTCGCTTACACATTTTATAATAATTAAAAAATAACATGTTAACTGAGGTGTCACAGCATTCATCCATAGAGTCTAGAATCAGATGATACTTGTGAATGTTGTGGTAGTCTTAAGGATGTCTGTTACCTCCAAGTAGAAAGTTTTGTTGTGGAACTAATTGTAAAAAAATATGTTTGTTTGAAACATCAAACTAAACAAGTTTTATAACTATACATAAACTCAAACTCCCTCTTCTAAAGTGTAAACAAAATATGTATTGCTTTTATCAAATGTATTTATTGTGATTAAACAAAGGACCTAACTTATATAGTATCTGTTATTATCACAAGAATACATGTTCCACAGAAACCCCAGTAACAATATTAACAATATAAATTAGTCATAAACATACAGTAAAGTAAAACTAAGTAAAGTATGTGTACAGTTCATTGGTTCATGAGTCTGTGGGCCGGAGCTGATGGCTTCAAATACTTGACTATCTATAACTATCATCATTCAAGAAATTGAATCTTTATTATATGTTTAGGTTTAATCTTAAATTTAAAAAAACTACTTGACTTAGTTCAGGTACATCCCTACTAACATTATAAATGCAAAAGTAACTTTGTCTGTCTGTCTGTTACACTTTCACTCCTAAACCACTGAACTGATTTAAATGAAATTTGGTACAGAGATAGAGTTGACCTTGATAAAGAACAGGATAGTTTTTATTGCAGACTTTTGATGTGATATAACCGAACTCCACGCGGGCAGAAAGCTAGTTGTTAATATATTTAATTAATTAATACATATTTTCATTATTAACATTAAGGCTTGTAAACTATATATTAGTTGAGGAAAACATCTGGCTCTGTATAGGTATGATAAAGATTTCAATTTCTGGTATGTAGTGACACTGTGTGAGAACTTCACTACTTTAAAGTGTTTTTTTGTTAATATTTTAGGACATACACTACCATTATATATTACTGGTAGAATCACATTGTCCTGACACATCAAAGATATTACTCAGACTGAGTTGAGTAAGGGATAATGTTACTTTAGAAACAATGTTGAGGGTGAGTGCCGTGCAATCTATCTGAACAACTGACGGACAACTGGCAAATGACTGAACTTCTTATACGACTAGAAACAAAGCTGCATAAATTGTTTATTGATGAGGGCGGGAAAGAAATATAGAGAAATGTGGAAGATAGGAGAGAAAGGGAGTGAGTCAGTAGATTCAAGTACATGCACATAGTATTCTTGCTGTACAGGGAAGTACACAGTGTGAGAATTGTTAAACTTGTATATGTTGTTCTAAATTAATTAATTCGTAATATTCATATTTTTTTGTTTCATCCATATACAGTAGAAACTCGATTATCTGGCCCTCAGTTATATGGATTCGCGATTATCCGGACTACAGACAAGTCCCGACAAGAAAGAATGTTAAAGCATAAGAGAGTGGTGTTGTTGAGAGTGGCGTACGTCAAATGACTGTTACCAAATATTCTCAACAAATTTACCAAATACATATTGTAATTTGTTTTTTAAATAAACATATAATATTATCAACTACATAAGCACAAAACCAGCTTTTCTTCATACATTCTATTATCGGGATTTTTGATTATCCGGATGCCAATCGACAAATATTTGTCCCGTTAATAGAGTTTCTACTGTTTGTACATTTAATACGGCAGTATTTTATTTACAAATTAAGAGGATAAGATTTGTTTACAATTATAAAGTTTCACTTCTTCCATGTGAGGGGCTTCACGGACTATTTTAAAATTGTTATTATATAATTTTTACCACGCAGTTTCCTGATTTCTTTCTTATAAACTGTCTTCTAGCAATAATAGACAAAACAAAACATGTATTGTAATTGGTCCCGCCATATCTGAGTGATGGTGTGACTGAGGGAAATATGATTTATTTTTACAGATACAGATCTCTTTCTTGTAAAGTGAGCAAGTAATAGAAATGAAAACAGGCAGACAGTTTTTATTAAATTACAATACAAATTTTATAAATTGTTACATTTTGTCATTGTTTTTATATTTCATAAATTGTTTTTGTGAGTCATTCAACATGATTCCTGTGTGGAGACAACCAGAACTAACTATATGAATGATAGTTTTCTCTTCCACATAACCTCTAATGTTTATATTTTATAAACCAATCATGATGACATTACTCAAAGTTTAAAAAGTCAAAAACTTAACAGATTATTTTTACTTATGATTTGAATCCATTAATCACAAGCTATAATATTACTTTTATCAACGCATAAAATACGGTTTTATATAAATACAACACTTACAGGAAAAGTAGGGCCAGTATAAGGACGCGGAGGCATCGGCGAGCCCGGAGGCTGAGCGGGCCCCGGGTAACGCTGTTGAGGCGGCATGGAGCCCGCGGGCGGCGCCGGGCTCGGCCCACTAGCGGGGAAACGTTGGGCCATCACTATTCACTGAATCCTAGTCAATATCAAAACACAATATTCTTATACTACTAAATAACACTTCATTGTATGCTGACACAATACGTCGAGTATATTCGTATATTTGATTAATTTTACGAAATAATAATATTATAAGATAAAAAGTAGAAGTTTAAAATTTAAACTAGTAACTTGTTTAATATAAAACAGGTAGAAGTTAAACTATTTTCTATAATTATTTAGAGTTAATACGCTTAGGACGCCATTATGACAGTTGACATTGACATCACACAGATTAAAACTATAATATAAAATATTAAGCACAGATAACAGTTGACAAACGTATTGAGAATTAGTATATGCAGAATAAATATAAATGAAACGTACATCTATTGTTATATTTTTGTTATTTAATAAATTATTGAGCATTATTAATGGTCTTCGTTAAAGGAATATAGTAATTTATTTTTTACGAATAACAAGACACAAAATATATATTTTTTCTCTCTATCAGTAGCAAAGATTACCGTTATAGTCGTTGTGCCTAATGATTCAGCCCAATGAGTGCATCAATGACATATTTTAAAAATACTATTATTTCTTACATTAACTTATTATTATTCTTTGAAAATAAATGAAAGGTGTAATATATTAATTACAATTTCAGGTATTAATAGTGTCTCTTAAGCAGTATGGAAAACAAACAATTAAAATTTGGAACATATGAACCATACATGTTAGTTAACTACATATATTTTCAATAATTTTCACAAAGTATTTTGAGTCTCACATTAGCCAAATAGACCAATGCCGATAGCTTTTACAACATAATTAAATTATTGTAGAATGAAACTCATTAGAAAAGGAGGGGACCATTATAAGAATTAAAGGAAAAATAATTTACGGGCGATCGGAGGTCGGGAAGGGTATGGGGATGGGTATTTAAGGGTAAAAAAAAGGGTTTTCTCGATTTTCGGCAAAACTAAAAGTCTTACGGAAAAATGTTATATGGCAAAGTTGTAGGTAATATAAAGACCTAAAACTTTTATTGTAACATTTTTTTCACATAACCTCAAATTTTATGTGAAAAATTCGAAAAACCAAGTTTTTGGTTTTTTATTTTTATCTCTTCCAAAAAACAATCTTTTTTGTCACGAAATTTGGTGAAAATTTTCCTTTTCATGTTCCAAATGCACTGTAATTTATTTTATGGGAAATATTCATTTTTTCAGCTTATTTTCAATCGAAAAATCACCCGTCAAAATATCATTTTTTTAAAACTCGACATCGTTTTGTATATGCTCTTTCTAATTTATTTTTAATAGTTGTCTACTCTGGAAGTTCTCCAGATAGTCCCTCTTTTAGGTAATTTACAAAAAATTGACATTAAGCTGCTAAAACTATTAAAAATAAATTGAAAGAGCATTTTCCAAACGATGTCGAGTGTCATTTCATTAAAAGAGACATGATTATTTTATCCAAAAATGGTACTGTAAGTAAGAAACTTATATTTTCTTCTTCGCCATCGGAAAATAAAGATTTCAACAAACTAAAAACACACAGAATTTTTGAAAATAGCTAATATTTTGACGAGTGTTTTTTCGATTGAAAATGAGACTGATTTTTCGGTATTTATTGAAAATAAGCTGAAAAAATAAATATTTCCCATAAAATAAATTACAGTGCATTTGGAACATGAAAAGGAAAATTTTCACCAAATTTCGTGACAAAAAAAAATGTTTTTTGGAAGAGATAAAAATAAAAAACCAAAAACTTGGTTTTTCGAATTTTTCACATAAAATTTGAGGTTATGTGAAAAAAATGTTACAATAAAAGTTTTAGGTCTTTGTATTACCTACAACTTTGCCATATAACATTTTTCCGTAAGACTTTTAGTTTTGCCGAAAATCGAGAAAACCCTTTTTTTACCCTTAAATACCCATCCCTATACCCTTCCCGACCTCCGATCGCCCGTAAATTATTTTTCGTTTAATTCTTATAATGGTCCCCTCCTTTTCTAATGAGTTTCATTCTACTATAATTTATTTTCACTTTTCATTATTTTTAAAGGCATCTGCATTGGTCAAAAATATCATATAAACATATTGCTATATTTTTGGTTATCGGATGAGAGATTTGCATATTGTATCTTTTAAGCTTTAACAAATGTTTTTTTGAGTTTCAATCAAATAGAATCACTTTTGATGACTCATTAAAATCTTTGCCAATTTTCAATATCATATTATATGAATACTTATAATAAAGGGAAACTAGTTGAAACATTATTGATAAAAAACTATATGAATGAGGTTCCTGCGAGTTGATGAGGACTGACACGGGCTGCAGGTGGCAGATTCTTTTGCAAAGTTCTTCTCTCACACGTCGTGAGGAACAGAAGACATTTGATAAAAAACACGGCCGTTAATCAATTTTTTAAAAATACACTTTTAATAATCTACCGAAAGAAATATTAAACGAAAAATCTTTTTTGAAATTTAAGACTAAATTAAAAACATACTGTCAAACTTTATAATATTTGAATGTTTGTATAAATAAGGTCACCATTAACTTTATAAATGTTTATTTTTATGTTACTAGTTTAAGTTTCCTATGTAAGTGAACTTCGTTCTTAATGGGAAATAAATCATCTCTAAACCTAAACCTAATTTATTTATTGATATTTGATCATTTGAGAAACAAACAAAAATTTCAAATTACATTTCTAAATTAAAATATAGATATATATAGTATATGTACTTATACAGAGATGCGTCAGTCCACCAGTACCTCGTAATATCTACACTGTGCCATCAAATAAACGCCATTTCTTGCATACCCTATTAAATGAAAACTTATGAAAAACAAATAGCATTCTAGGTGACTCTAACAAAAATAATTATTAAATCCTTTTTCAAACTTCAAAATAAACAAGTATACCTACTTAAAATTTCTGGATTGTGATTTAATTTAATTGATGTTCAAGTTGTGCTAAGATTCCTGATATGCTGGTAATAAGTACTCATTATTTAGGAGATATGTTTTTTGATAACCAGTTAATTCAAATAACCCTTGGGATTTCCTCAGTAGTATATAAGTAGTACATTCTTCTCATTAGGATATTAGGCGAGTTTCCAATATATCCAGGTTATGTGTGGGTTGATGTGAAGATTTAATTAGAGTGCTATTCTCTTCGTCCAATCGTTTGAGCTTTGTGACAGTTGTAGCGGAAAGGTCATGAAGAAAACTTCCCAGAGATGTTATCTACGTGTCTGGAAATTTGTTCCTTTTTTTTATTGTGGAAGCAATCCACGAATAAGAAAGATTATAAGACAAAAGAATAGTTTCATAAACACTTTGTGTAAGTATTATTTCACCAGATAATGTATTGAAAAGGCGCAGCCCCGTGGTATGTTACCTATTGATATCCACACTATTGGCGTCCAGAATCGACCGGTCAAACAAAAATAAATGTAATGTTACCACAGAATTTCAAGTGGAATACAGAGAACTAATTCAATATTTTCCTATGAGAATAGTTGACTCCTGAATCTAGAGAAGGTTTGCTTAATTTTTACATGTGGCTGTGGTATCTGTTGTGACGGTTCTAATGGACCTGTAATATCAACAACAGTTAATCAGCTGGTTGACAATTAACTCCAGACCACGGTCGTAAAAGAAATCCTCGCCTGTATTTTATAACACATAATCGTGATATTACAGGAGCTGCGAATAGCGATATTATCAATTTTGATCCTTTTATCAATTCTGTTCAATGTTTTTTTGCAAAACAAAAGTGATGATGCAAAAATTGATCGCGCCCAAAATTTGACAGCAATTAATAATTATTATACGACAAAAGTGCTATAGATCTTATTGATTCATATATTCATTGATATTAAATAATTGTATTATAAATTATTTCTGTGTATGTATATCTTTTGTACTTTATCTCTGACATGTAATCCGTAATCTGTTTTTATTAGACAAGTCTTACCAGTCATAGAATGTTATAATATCTCAGTGTTCAAAGGATCCCAGGCACTGATTGAGGATACAATAAAACTAATTGTGATTGTTAGACATACATTTAACCGACAACAACTGAAACCTCTTGAATTCTAAAGCTAATACTAATTCACTCGTGTCCGGGTTTTCTCTCTAAAAACAAAAACTGACAACATATGAATAAGAATATTTTGAAGCATTAATCTTCACTGTATCTGTATGTCATAGTTTATGTAGGGAAAATGAGTATTATTTGAATAGCTATCACAGGTGTAGTTAATTTAAAAAATATATATATATTTTTTTGGGCAAAAGTAAACACGATATCAGCTAAATACTATCTCAATATAATTGTATGATGACAACGACACACGTTTACATCGATAACGTATTTATTAACGGATTTGAATAAAACAGATAAATTATTCATTAAAAAATGTTAAATGAAATTATAACTGGTTCCTTTTGTATTTGAGGCCGTTCTTATGTAATGTAACGGAATGTTTCTTATATCACGTTACTTTTCATTGGAGAATTTAACTTGGATTTTGACATATATAACGAGCGTATTCACAACAACAGACTTTCAGTAAACATATTAAAAGAAGATTCATTTACACAGGGTGATCATAAAGTAAGAGGGATTTTTATAGTACATATATTAATTTGACCGTACGGAAGGCCGCCGATGGTAGTTTCCTCGGAGGTGAAGCGGGTAGTGTATCTCGCTCGGAGCACGCTGTATGTACGGCGGAGGTCGGTAGGTCGCTCCTGGAGGCGTGGAGCGCGCGGCGCCGCCCCCGAGCCCGCAGCCCGAGCCCGCGCCGTCGGCCGGGCGCCGGGCGCCGGTTCAGTCTCCGGCGCGCCTCGTCCTCGTCCGCACGTGTCGCTCGGGCCGCGTGGCGCCGCTCCTCGCCCACCAGGAGTTGCGGTTCGCATCTTACCGGGCAGCATTAGAGTCGTTCCGTTATTTTCTAATACTGTCAGGTAAAGATGTCGTCCGCGCTCCACGTTCAGCGTCGCCGAGCAAGGAGCGAGTGTCGCCGTCTGCTGCAGCCACTGTTAGCGAGGAGTTCTGTCGGCGGAGTGGTCGCGGTGAGGAGGTTATGACACGTGTCGCGGGATCCTCGCACTCCAAGCACTCCTGCACGTGTCCTCACCGAAGAAAACCAGGAAGTTTCGTGGCCGAAGAAGCTTGTCTGCGGAGAGTATGAGAATTCATTTAACATTTACACTTTCACAATTATGTCGATGTTGGCGGTACAGTGACTCGTTTTTTTATAAAATTGATGTCATGTTACATTTGATTTTCCGCCTTTAATTGAAATATAAATCGTAATCGTAAAAGTTTTGAACTTAACCGCCGAAATCGACTGTTAAAACGAAGTCTCGAGGAGGCGGCCGTCACACGTGTTGTACTTTGTATCCTCTATATATGTACATGTTATCGGTTTATTCATATCGAGTGTAAGAAACGTACGGACTCATGACTCCTATACACCTAGCTACTGTAAGACGTAGAATCTGACAAATTCAATAAGACTTATATCTGGTGAGGAGGTAGGAAGCAACAAGTCTCCGTCCCCGCCAGGCCGGCCCGTGTCCCTTCATTCTCTCATCCATTTGAGTCTATAATATTCTTATTAGTTCTGTGCTTTTTGGATTGATACTGGGAGTGAACGGTGAGGCGTTACTTCCTTTTATGATATTAAATATCTTTATATGTTATTGACTTATTTTCTCATTTCTTTCGACACTTGGGTAGTAGCAGACTAGGATGGGTTAGTTTCTCTAGTCGGAGATGTGGTGCATTATTCATAAGCGGGTGGAAAGTTTTGTCTTTTCGAATATTAAGATGTGGGTCAAGGCCCTGGTCGGACGGTCCGCTACTCGCCAGTCGCGATGCCTACTTGATGTTCATTTAGATGCAACCTCGTTCAACGTTGCTTAATTACTCATTATAACTTCCGTCTCGATAACTCTACAAAAAGTTTCTCTGTTTCAATTCAAAATTTAAAATAACAGATATTAACTTCAACATTTTTTCAAAATAAATAATTTCATACCCAGATTCTAAATTGAATTTGTGATGTTTGTGAAGCTATTTGTAGACATTAAACTGTATTAGCAGCAGCATTCACTGAAAATAATATTGAAACGCAAAACGATGTGTTTGTTGTGTCAGAACAAACGTGTAGATAAGAGTAACGGAGCTGTGACTATCAGCTGGTGTCGAGGGTCGCGCGATACGTTATTGTTGTTGTCGGAGCGGGAGACCGACCGGCCGACCGGCCGCGGGCTATCGAGGGTTATCGCACTCTTGTTCCGAAGTTTGTGAGTTGGTTTCATCCACGCGGTTCCTTCGTGCTCTTTATATAATACAAACAGCACGTTTCATTCGGTTTCGGCTGAACTAAACGCCGCGGAGGAGAGCAATCAGGAGAGCGGTGAAAGCAGCTATAAATTAATCGCTCAAGTGGATTCCACTTTCGAAACGAATTCTTATAGGTACCGGCTCGTCGCCGCGGCGGGACCGGTTCTTAATTTCCTATAGGTGTGCGCGTTATGCATCTATTTCGGGAGTCGATGACCGCCAGTTTGGCACTGCGGCCGGTCTCTCTCTGTCCGGGACACTGCGCCGCACCTCCCCTCTGTCCGTCTTTACACTGTAACGTGACGTCACGAGCCGTCCCCTCTAACCCTCTCCTATTAATCGCTCATGATTCGTTGTGTAGAACAGTCCCGTCTTGAACATGATATCCCACGTGGCGGTCGCCCGAGCATTGTTGTCGGCTATTTCTGTCATCCGCTAAAATGAGCCGCAGATCGCTCGCCCGTCGATCTCCGTGACGGGCGCCGGCGCATTATTTGTTCCTTTATTTACGTCAATAGTTTGTTGCACATTACGATACTGCATTATTTACGATATGACACGTGATGTGTAAAAAATATAACCTTTAGATGTAGGCTTGGTTAAATATTAAAAGGTTGCTTTAAAAATATCCGTCTACAGAGTAATTTGTCCCTCGACTATATCTATCATTAGAAACTCTGTTAATATTGAAGTTGGCCATCGGTCTCGTACGGTGTCAGTTCATTATCTCGTGTATGTATGGTGGAGGCAGGGAGCCGGTCGCTGGCAAAAACAAGTCGATGAGTGGAGCGTGTGGAGGAGCGAGCGAGCGACAGGTTGTTGGTTCACTAGCTTTCTCCCACCGCGCGCACTGGAGAACAACTACACACGTATCATTTAAAACATTTAATTTCATTTAATTTCGACGTCGACTAACGGTCGGTATATACATATATGCGAGTATGTAAAGTAGGAAAAAGTTTTGTAAAACATGTGGACGAAATAGGTCCGATAAAAATGTCATCACCACTAACCTTATCTAAGTGATGAATGATCGAATTGTAATGTGAGTTCTTACAATGATAATATTTTTCAAATAAATACAAAGTGTCGCTACTCCTCCTGCGGGCAATCTATTTCTAGTTTAATTGGAGATCATAAACGAAAAACATGTTTTGTAAGTCCTCGGCCGGACACCTTGACGCCTGCTCCTAATAAAAAGGTTGTTTCGACATTGTAACTGAAGATCCTCACGAGTTCACTTCTTGAAACGGGATTAACTCGCCACATCTGATCTGGATTTTTGAAAATAAATATTATCAATCAAATCAAATAATACTTCACCTAATCTTATTCTTTTAACATTTTTAACATATGGAAAAGGTCACTTGAATTAAAAGATTCATTATTAAAGTTAGAGACGGGAACGTGTACATCTCTAAAAAATATTTACAAATATTTTGTTCTTTTCTCTGACTTCAACGGATTAAAATGTAATGTGTAGAATCAATTTGGGTCTCAGATAAGGAAGGGCAAACGATTTAGATATGAGAATCATTTAATACTCGATAACGGACGATAAAAAGATATACCATGGACGAGTGGTTATTGTTTTATATATAACACACACACACACACACACACACACGGACAGATTGGAGTCTCGGGGAATTACATACATGTGTTTTGAGATTATTAAAAAATTGTTATAAAAAACGAAGATTAATAAAAACAAATCATTGATTACTGCCAAACTCAAACTTAGTTGATAAATATTCTGATTGTAATATATTAATTAAGATTTGAATATTCAAACCAAAATCCCGATTCCACATAAAACCCATGAGTCCATACTTCCAACAGTAACATTCAACAGTCCTCAGTGTGTGTGTGTCACAGTAGCCGTGTATTAACCGGTCCATGTCACCAACTGTGTTTCGTCAACTCAACTTATTCTCTTCGTTTCCTGAGCTCGTCCTCACGACGACCGTCACATCTCAAGGACTCTGTTCAAATGATTGTTTCCTTTACTTCATCCTTAATCCTAATGTTATTGTCGTATGTTCCGACACCTCTACATTCTCGTGTGTGTCTCGGAGCTCCTCTCCCTGTTCCACGTATCTGTAATCCCACATTCAAGTGTCGATGTGTCCGTGTCCCGTGTGTGCCCGCGACCAGTCGTAATAAACTCAGTCCGGTCGCTTTCAACTGAACAGTTACTTTATCTGCAGCTCTCGTAATCTTATGCTAATGTAGAGCTGTTTTATTTAAATTTCTCTCATAAAATATAACTCCTACATTAGTTTGGAGGCGGTTCGTCGACCCGCGGACGCGTGTGCCTTGTGTTATATGTTATTATATTTATGGGCCGACATTAAGAGGTATCTTTAATATGGGAGCGTGTGGTGTTTCGTCAGAATACCTAACTTGAGTTTTATTCATCGTCTTGGTCATAACGGCCATCTCTTCGTTGTTATATCTGTGTGTGTGTGTGTCTGTGTCTGTGTGTGTGTCTGTCTGTGTGTGTGTTACTCCTCGTCACGGCCGACTCCCCTCGGTCCTCAGCTCGCCCGGCCGCCTGCGTGTTCAACATCACGCTATTAAATGTTAATTGCAACTTGCATTTTTATTTACGGAATTTCTTGCTCTATACATTATTTATTGCCTTTTTTCTATTCACGCTTCCGGATGTCTAATCCATGAGTTGGAAACTGCGCTATTGTGTCTGTTGCGAAAATTGTGGTTCCAGAGAATTAGCTTTTGTTTGTAATGATGGCTTATTACTTAGCTATGAAGTGGTCTGGAGTACTTAGTGTGCTTTATAGTAGAATATACACACACATAACAAATGTTAAAACACATGCTCTTATAATCATTATTTTATTTCAAATAGATTCCCTTCGAAGGAAGTTTTAAAATTAATTAAAAAGTAATAAACAAAGAAATTGTATAAGATTTTCAAAAGTTATCAACACATTAGGAGTTATTAGCGATTGTCTATAATGAACATTTTTGTTACAATCAATATTAAAGTTTTAGACGGTCATCATGAACCGCCGCAGGTAGGTGTAGTAGACCGTCGTGATGTATGAGGGCGTGAGAGACTCCTCTAAAAGACTTCAACGACACGCGGACAGAGTTCAACGAGTGTAGCGTGACCTGACGGACGGAGGAGCCTGCAGCCTGGGTACATAACATATATATAACATATACACAAAAAAACTGATGTGGTTCAGGAAGTTTATTACAAATAAATATTAAAAATACATAGATATATAACAATATTACAACCGGCACTAAAGTTTTATTTTCAAGACGTTCGCTGTTCTTGTATTTATTTCGTATAACGTGTAACATCTAAGCACGTTTTGGATTAAATATTTTTTGAAGCATAATAAAAAATAAACGTGAGCTATAGGAATAGTCAAAATTATTTGAAACAATATCAAATTTTAATCCAAGACGTGTAGCTCAATATTGTAAGGTGAACACATGTCTCACAACACTCTGTTCTTTATAACAATAATGTTGTATGTTTGTTTGTCTATATCACTGCCTCCTATCACCGAACGAGGAGTTGATAGTGGTTGAGTCCCTTTAAGTAACATATAGCTCTTTATATTCCTCTTTTAAGTTTTCATTCTGCTAAAAACCATTGAAATCATACTACTACATCTTCAGTGAAAACTATCATTACATTGTCATATAGGACCGTGACACGTATTTTATATAATTCAATATTATATTACACGAACATCCAAAATTCATAATTAAATTGTGTATTCCTTTTACGATAATTAATCAGCGGAATGTAATTGCATGTTAGCGAGTAATGAGCGGGCCGTCCGGCGACTTTAGACTGGTGAGGGGGGAGGGGGGACGGTCCGCGGGGGGGAGGGGGGCGCTACTAAAAACTATTATTAGAGACATTTGCAATTTAATTAACGTAGCTATTACAGTACCAGCTGTGTTGTACAGAATGACCCTCTAACGGCCGGAGAGACCTCACTCGTTGGAAACTTATTATCAAATGAACCTTATTTATGTTTAGTATCCAACAAATGGTTGCTGTTACATAAGTTTAGAGGCTTCTTTATAACCTGTCCATGTTAATACACGAACTGATCACAGAGATAAGCGATGCACCTTCATCGATTAAGAAGATATCAGTGTTGAGAGACTCCTCGACATACAGATGTTTTAAAATATGACGACGCATTCTGTTAGCTGAGGACGAGGAAAATATATTTATAATTAACAGCAGAACGAAGTCAGCGAGAGTTTGATAATATTATATGTTTTTTTCCCCATTTACGGTTTCTTAGATTGAATTAAACCAACAGCCATCAAAGATACTTCTGTCCGTAGATTCAAGTCGATATGATCTAAATATTTTGTTAACAAATTAATTCAATTCAACAATTTATAACAACGACCACGAACATCGGCCGATATAGAATTAGGACACAATCATATTAACCTTCGGTGTGACGGTCTGTTTGAACAAATGTATCGAGTCGACGTAGTGTTGGACGAGAGAGAGCTATCGATAATAATGATCGCGCGGACGTGCCTATCATTACAGTGTCCGCTCAGAACACGCTGCAGGGAAACATGTCAGTTTAGCGGAGGGCATGTGATGTGTCTCGGCCGGCGCCGGCCGCTGGGAATACTAGTTTTATAGCGGATCTACTCCACCGGCCCGCCGACCCGCCGGCCACCTGTCGCTCGCCCGCTCCTACCTCCTCGCACCTCCTCCTACCTCCTCACGTTTCCTCGCTCCTCCTCGCACTTCCTCTACTCGCCCACGCACCAGCCGGCCGCTGCCTGTTGTCTTTAGCTCCATCGGCTACCGTGTATTACAACCTGTTCCGCTTCCTACTATTAGTTCGCTTCTCGACCAATACATTTAAGTTTTTCTTCCAAGTGAGAGGAACCTTATTGTTTCTGTATACTCCAGGTCCTCGGTCTCCACGTTGTTGCTGGTGTCAGTCTCATTGCTATGTCGAGGATCGCAAACTGCTGAGTTGGAGCGGTGTATTTTTAGCCGCCGGCTTGCGTGGCGTGTGTGATAGCGCGCCGTGGTGTGCGTGAGGCCTGTGTGTGTGTTTGTGTCTGTGTGTGTGTGTGTGTACGTGTCGTACTTTACATACACACTAAAAATACTCGGTGGCGACACGCGTGTGACAACGTGGCGCCCGCGCATGTCTCTCTGGCTGTTTGTGTCAATACATTAGGAGCCACTCAATGAGTGGTTTTATGTGACGAACATTCTGTACTAACACACAGAGCTAGTATTGATTGGATGTTTAGATCGTTTGTCACTTAGATCATCTTTGAATCTCTGTCACTGATATTGTAGAACGTTAATGTGAGATTTATACAAATCGTGTTAATATATGTATGTATTATACTTCAAGTCCCTATCGGCCGACGAGTTTCGGCTAGATTCAGCCGTTGGAAAGTTAATTAACCATTCGGCTTTTTACATACTGAGTGTCCAAAAGCCAGTTATACTAAAAACACACTTCTGTTAACTTTCATGAAGCACGCCGCGCCGCGCCGACCCGCTCTCTCTCCGACACGTGACGAGTAGAAAAGAGACAAGGAAATGAGTTAAATGACAAAATATTATTTTACAATATCTGAATGTTTGAACGAGAGACTAATAATGAGTGGAGTAACTTTAATTGTAGTTAAATATCTCTTGTAGTCAACCGATACAAGTCGACCTTCGCATCACACGGTATAATATTTAGTTTGGAAAATATTTGAAACGTTTCTATTTATTTACTTACTCGCATTACTGTTATTTGAAGTGTAATTTTTCGTGTTGGATAATTATTTTCGTTACATATTTTACAGTTGTTAGTGTTGTAATAATTGTTAGTCATTTAATGTTTGTTGTTATCTATATAAATTTAGTTTTTTTTATCTAATCAAACTGTTTCGTATTATGTAATATAGTCAGCAGTTCTGTTCTGTGGCTGTCAACATAGTTTATGCTTAGTACGAACTTACGTTACGTTTGTCCGTTGTTCATTCAATAACCTTCGTCAGGACGAGATTTATGAATGTCAAACTGTGAACGCTCCGTACGTAGCGTGGCAATGCCGACTCGGACTAAGAAGACTGATCTTTAAATTAAAAACAGAATCAGTGTTTGTGTGTACTACTTTTGTAAGATTCTTTTAATTATTGAGTTCGTTTATATTGAACAGCAATACATTCAAGTGATATTCTTCATATGTAATATGAATTATAGTCTTCGTCTATATTAATATAGTATCTCGTGGCACGTTCGTATGTATCAAGTAATGCCCGCACCTGGTGAGCCTTCCAGCCTGTAGCTGGTGGCGTCTAAAGGTTACATTCACAGCTGTCTCTGTCTCGAGTTCTTTATTATAAGGATATGTAACTACCATCTTAAGCGGTCACTAACAACCTTGTGATTAAAATGACGCGTCCTCATCTCTTTGTGTCTGAATTTAACTGAACCGGAATGAATTCTGTAATGTTCAACATTCAATAATGATTATTATTATTATTATTCCATCGGCTTCTGTATCAGAAGTCGTACCGAGCGTTAACTCGTCCGGGCCGTCTTATCAATAATCGTTTTCTAATCGACAGATTACACATTTTTTGGGTGAGCACGATTATAATTTTAAAATCATATTTTATTCGTATTTTGTCGCGATCCGTTCCTGATACGAACATTTTATTAAACTAAACGTTATTTGAAGGCCAACGACGGATATATTATGTCAATGTCTCTAATATACAATACAAATTGTTGCCAACTTTACACAAACGTATATCTACTAACACTCGTACTACAAATATCAATTAATAATCTCTCACTGGAGCCGCTCGTCCCCGGCGCCGGTCCACAGACCGACGAGTCATGAGTACATTACGAGCCACGAGGTTGACATCACAACACATACATGACAAGTAGTATAGGTTTTGTGGCTCTCATCGGAAACTTTGGATAAGCGGGATGTTTAGGTGTTGGTATCAGTCGTACTTCTGGGCAGTCAGGATGTCATTCGGGCAGGCAGCTGGAGGTCGTTGACCCCTCATACCCTTCATAACACACGTCCACATCCACAGACCGCTGGCCTTTAATGTCCCGTTACAACATACTTCTGAATCTCGTTCTGAGCCCACGTTTTCGGCTCCAGCGGCTACAGTCTGTATTTATTACGATTTTGTCGCGCGCAATTAACTTCATCTCACACTCGCACTGTATTTAATAACACACTCCGACGACTTATTAGTAACGACATATAAATATAATGAGTGTGTGTTTGTACTGTCAATATAACATATTTTATATATTGATAGTCTTATAACTGTTACTATAAACATTCACTTTTAAGTGTCTTTGTCAACATGAGGTCATTTGGTCGAAATGAGTGACGTTAGTATAAATATATTATACGTTTGATGTTAGAGTGCTAACCATTCCGCCCCACTTTGTACTGGGCAAGGGGTTGTCATACACAAGGTGTATGGGAAGACCCACCACCTCAACAATTTGACATGAAATACTATTATACAAGAGACGTCCGTTATCACAGAATAATCCTTTGAACTGTAATCAGTATTTTTATGAAGTAACCATTAGTTTGTAACTGAAAGTAAAAATGTTGAAGTGTTTTGTCGCGACGGATTCCGTCACGGTGATGTTAATAGAGGGTAGAGATCACGTCACTTGATGAACACTGAATTATGAATATATTAACATGAACCTAACAACTACGTGTTGTCTGTTAGTTAGTAGTGGCTTTACTAACAGATTGATTAATATCAAAACAATTGAAATCTCTTAAGGTATATACTAAAGTAGACATTTATTTTTAAAATAAAACTAAGTTTATTTATCCACTCGTAAAGAGATTTCGAACCTCGTCATCCTGAACCTAATCCAAATTGTAATCAATCTATTAATCTGACTACAAATTCTATCGAATGCAGATTAATGATCAAGATCAAACTTATAAATGAAAAGTCCAGAATATATAAAAATAAGTAGACCTTTTTATGTAAATAAAAAGGTAATATAAACGAATCGGATCGCTTCCTGAATTTGAATATAAAGAAATTTTAATTAGATTCTGTGGTATCAGTACTTAATGATAAACATCGTGAAGGAGAAAGATTCATTGATTATATATCAACAATAATTATTAGGGACGTGTTTGGTTCAAGCGAACATTCAAAGTAACTCCGGGTCAGTCTTCAACAAGACAAACGGCTCTGTGAACTAATAGACGGCGTGGATATTAACTTGTAAACACTGACAGTTTGATCCGAATTAAATATCAATAAAGTATAAAAATTGTAACGAGAAAAACAAATTTTCAAATATATATTATATAACATCTTTAAATGATGTAATATAGACATATGACAATGATGTGTTTTTAATTAGCTTTTATTCTTAATTATGTTGTTCTTTAAAGGTTCATAAATATATAATATATAGTGACAGCAATGTTTGAGGTCGAATACTTCGTTTCTTATAACGCTGAGTCACGGCTCCGGTCGAACGGTCAGATACGATGAAACACTGAAAATATTGAGGAGACCAGCATGAAGATAGTATGTGGAGATTGACCTACATGGACTCACAAGCCTCAACTGTCAAAGTGACCTGTAGTTAGGTTCTGGTTCACGGTACTAGAGGCTTACTTTAGTTGACTTTTTTTCCCACTTGATACCAATCGCCTATTCACATACTCCACATTTAAACTACTGTCCAGTAACCTATTAAGATTCGTGTTATTTATAATCAAAAATATTTTTTTCAAGTTTCTTTGTACGTAATGAGTTTGGTAAACTATAAATTGGACACATTTTGATTTAAGCCTGAAACCTTATGAATAAACGTCAAGTTATTTGAATATTAAAGACGTATTTTTAATTAAAATCACTCCTCTGACCTTTGGTGTTGTGAGGTCGATGACAAATATCTCAAAGATTAAAGATTTTAAAGATTAGACGCACTCACGGTTTTGTATATTATTTAATAAAAAGGAGTTATTAAAACTTTTGCGTTTTATTTTGTCAGTTATTCCTGTGGTCATCGTTAATAAGAATATATATCGAATTATTTGTCCTCAAATACATCTAGTTTAGATAAGACTCGACTTTATTTATAAGTGTTCAGTAACAACGTCGGATACAAACCGTCCATGTAGTCTGATCGATTCCGTACTTTTTACGTAAGAATGAATATTGTTTTCTTATATATATTTTTTACTGAAGCAAGAACGAACTGCAATAACTAGTGTGTCATGTCGTAACGTGTCGGTCGGAGCTCGCGGCTTCGGTTCATTATAAGAAGTCGTCTATTAATTTACATCCAATTCATTGTATTGTATCGGTAATACAGAAGTAGCAAGTGACACGCACCTGTATACATTTTATTATATGTAGTAGGTATAACGTCGTCATGTTACTGTTCCTAGTAGGACCGTCGACCGGGACCCTGTGTGTCACTAACACTAGTCAAGTGTTAAACAAACGATACTTTTATTATTCCCGTATAACAGCACGATTCCTCCTCCCCGCGCCCCTCCCCTCGCCCCTCGCCCCCCGCTCGCCCGCGGTCATCCTTCACTCGCCGCCACGTTAATGGCCCCAACAATTTATATCCATTACTATTCAATTCGTTAACCTTTAAGCCGCGCTACTGAATACATAACTAATGTATGTACGATACAACTATTGGTAAAAGTAATTGTTTTAAGTTTTCATTACGAATGTTAAACACTCGAAATAGTGATTGGACGCGTGTAATTCGTGTGGACTCCCGAGTTACTCGATACATTGATTCATAATGTGTGTATATATGTAGATGGTAGTATTTGAGAGTCGTCTGTCTAACAATACGTATTGAGAGGAATCCTCTTTGTTATATGACGAGCGAGTTACAGTCGGGGATTTGTCAGAGACGAGTTAACAATCGGACGTAAGAAACAAACAGCAGGTCGCGGACTCGATACGATGGAATTAAATATTAAATACATATATGTAAAGCAATTATTTAAATGCAACTTGAATACATTATCTAAAACACACGAAGGAAACACAGAGCGGAATTACAACGGCGACTCGAAGCCAATAAATGAAAAAAAAATGTGTGCAATTCGTATAACAAGATCACGTTGATTATGAATCATAAAGCGAATGCATCCGTGAGATAAACGCGCATACCACCGCTCACTACCACACACCACTGACGAGGAAATATAAACTTTATACATATGGGAGTAAGGTGCATTAGACAGACTGAATACACATGCAGTAGTCGTCTATAGTATTGTGTTATATCAAAATGAGAATGATTTTTACTATCGCCTCAATAAAAAATATACTCAGCAGTTACAGCTCTGACGATGAAAAATAGACTCAGGATCAACGAAAACTTAGTAAATTTATTAAAAAGTCCTATAAATTATTGAAAACATAACCGTTGTTCACTGTCATTAGTCACTTGTGAATAAACAGTACCTATAGTGTTTGTTGTACTAACAATTAATGTTCTATGGACTATGTAATATATAAAAGTAATATAAAACACATATAAATGTCTAGGAAATAATAAATTCAAGTCCGATGAGACAAACATACCTACATATAAGAATTATGAACTCCAATAAAGTAAAGGCGAGGTTACAGTTAGACCTTGAGAAGCGAAATTTAGAGGATCGTAACAAAAGTTCAGATATACCTACACACACACGTGTGGTATGAAACAGTTTTATTTACTTTATATACATTTATTGTTTTGAACGACAAATATTAAATCGTTACAAAATAAAAATTTGGCTATAAGTCATCTATGAAGGCAACATTAAATTAGTAAGTTTGGTATAATTTCCTCGATGTGTATGTGTGTGTGTGTGTGCGCGCGGAGTTCAGTGGTTCCGCATCACGACGACACAATACTAACTGGACGACTTATTAATAGACAGGTGTTGATCTATAAATAACAAGATATAAGATGACCGCCGCACACACAGTTTAGCTCGTACACACGGTGTAAACGTATCCGTCACCAATTTAATATTGTTATTATGATCAAAAATATTGTCTGTAGTTGATGTGTTGTTATATAACATGACCAGGTCTGTTATGATGAGAAATATATCGAATCGATTCAGTGAAAACCTTTCCCTTCTTAATATAATGATTTCACCCGACTGTAGTCAAAAGGAGTATTTTGTTATAACCCTATAAGAAATATAACATATTGTGTGAATATTTAAATATATGTTCATAATGAAAGGAACAGGTTAACCGTTAGTGTTTAAATGACAGACATGGAGGGGATTAAAAGTTTAGTAAATAAATATTTTTTACATTTTATACAATAATTGATACGAGAATGATACCAATAGAACCAAGACTGGATACAGTCAGCAACACATGCCGGACGCCGCCTAGTGTACCTATAAATAAGGTATACAAAGTTTAATAGCTTCCAATCATGTTTGAAGTATATTATTGTATGTATGATGCTCTGCAATTTAATATTCATTCCCTTCAGAATTAAAGTTGAAAAGCATTTTTTTATTTTGTTAGTAGGTGACGACCAGAAAAATTGAACATAGTTGTTGAAGCAAGTGAAAGTTGTCTGGGAACGGTACTGGTGAGGTTTGGATGTACAAGTACAGGTATGTTACAGGTTACTAAAATGTTGACGAATATTAATAAAATGTTGATAATAATTACTAGATATGACGAGGATGCTGGGCGTGCATCAAACGACACTGATCACTGCTGTTTTCTACACGAGGCCTGGTGAGTGACGCTGTGTGTCTGACAGTCTTCAAACTCTTCAACCTTGGTTTAACAGGTTAGCATTTCCTTCCGAATTAAAATAATTCCTTAAGATGAAAAAAATGTATTATAATGAGGTCGTCGATGGTCCTTTAATTTCTTTTCTTAATAACTGTACACATTTTGTAATTAATATTTGTTTTGTATATGTCCTTATGTTCAATGCTGGTTCGTTGTCGGAACACTAGTCACCTTAGGGTTCTAGGATATTCCGAATGAGATCGAACAATCAAGATATACGTTATGATATTGACGCTTGAACAATCTCTTCAGATACGACCTACACCTAGAGAGATTTGTTAACGCGCTATATTTCAACATTTATACGGTTGAGTTTATCTTTATGTTAAATTAAAAGATCTTAAATATTTAGTTTTTTTTTCATAAAAACCTCTGCATTAAAATCATCGTTATATATATTTTTAAACTGCAAAGGCCATCGATTTAATAAAAATATCAGCGGAATCAAAACAGTAATGTTTGATTAAATCAAAAAATATGGAACGGATCGAGAGAAATCAATGTGATAGGATCTCGGTTTATGTAAATGAATGTTCTAGATCACGACCGTTAATATGAGGAGTCTGAGACGAGTGGAACTACAGTTACGACTGAATGAACGAACAAGAGAACGAATGAACGAATGAGAATGAACGAATGAACGATGTGACGTACATGAGGGTGAGGTGCATACAACATGTACCAACTGCCGCGCACTGACACCGTTCAATGAGTCCTTCGCTGCCAAATGAGTAGCTGCGAGAGAACTCGTTCTGTGAGATCTCAGTCGTGATAATTATTATTTATTCTTATTAAATAAGCTCTTTTCAAATATCACTACTGTATAAACTCATTTTTTATAATGTTCTTTGTAAAAATAAAAGTAAATATATCTGTAAGGTTGCCCAAGTCGTAGGTAACTGACTGATTGTTTTCTGTCATAGATACGAGTAGCTGAGCTTGAACATTGTAATGTTCACGTGTGTCTAACTATATTGTTACAGAGTTACTCTTTATTACATTGTTTATTGTTTGTATCGTGTTTACACTTTGAGCTTGAGCCACACGAACATCCAGTAGTTTATAAAGTCATTATTATGTTAAATATTATTTTCTCTGTTTGTTAAACTAAAATGCTGTATAGGATTTGGTTGGTTGGTAGCTGTTTACAAGATTTACTATACTATGTATATGGGTTATTGTGCTGAGCGAAGGCTGTGAAAGAAAATGTAATTATATTAAAAAACTAAACTATTAAGAGCTGAGTTGTGAACAATACCTGTCATGAAAAAAGCTAATAAATATTTAATAATTAATCAGGAAAGGAAACCAGTAGCTGTAATGGAAACCTCTGTCCGAACAAGTTTTGCGATAGTTTAATAAGAATAACTTCGATAACCTTAAAATATAACAAGTAATACAAGCCCAGTTGGTTCCATGTTGTTATTATTGGTCGTTATCTGTGGCCGCTCTGGCCGCTGTGGACGGCTTGTTATCATTATGAATCATGAACTACACTCATTGTTTCATTTTTCGTTTGACAGATAACAGTCGGATATTAGAACGAGTACACACAGACCGACACAGACAAACACAGAGCGACACAGAGAGACACAGACAGAGAGTCGGCCGGAGACTGTTACAATAATAATTAATGTTCTTTTTATATCAACTTTAAATTTACGAGCGAGTGTTATAGTTGCGATGTATGTTTGTTTTATTTAGTGTTTGTTACGAGAATGACTCGCACTCGTCATTAGTTCTAAAATAACAGTTTGAGGAATAGAATAGTTGTAAATCAAACAGATTATTGTTTGAAACAAACTAAGCAATAATTGAGACAATATGATGATAATAAAACATGAAATAATAATCTATAAATAAGTATATATGTATGTATAAGAAGCTAGCAATCAATTCTCGTTCTTTAATCAATATATATTTCCTTTGTGTCTTTACATATAATTTTATATACCTACATAATTTCTTACTAATACACTATGGAGATATAACCTTTGTTTCTGTATTATTTAAAACAATCTTCATTCAACTAAAGTGATAAAATATATTTAATTATTATACTCAATGTAACAATGTATGCTACAGTCATCAACTGTGGACCAACGATGTAGAACATTCAAGGAGGAAAACAGGAGAGGAAACGAAAAAAATATATACATCTAGTGACGGAGTAAACACCGCTTATAGAATAATATGTAACATAGAGGGAAACGTTTAACATTAAAATAATTATTGTTATACTGAGACGACTTCCTTCAGAGATGTGTCCGGAGAACTCAAAGTATTAGAAGAGAGTATATATGTACATATATAATTCTGAATTGCTTTTGAAACAATTTGAAACATGAATTTTTTTGATCCTTATACATATATCGTAGTTGTAATCTGCAGACGCTTCTAAAGAGATTGGATCATACAAGTGACGTGGACCTGAACTATCATTTATTCCAAAAGATTCCTTAGTCACTTATAATCTGATGAGAATTATTGTTTATAATTAATATGAGGTGTTATTAAATAGTTACACTTTTTTGTATTATTATGAAATAAAAAGTTTTTAATATAATTTGTTTTTTCTTTAATTCACCATCTGCTTGAAACAGGGACTTTTTTTTTATATTTCTGACAGTTTTACTTTTTTGTTGGTATTTAATATTTTTTTTCAAATTTGTGCCATTATGGTTAAGGAAATATTTAGATGTTTTGGATTTAAATTCTATTTAAAAACCATATGGTTAAACAATGCATTGAATAATATTGCTAGACATTACAAACAAAGGAATTAGATAAAGAAGTACAAAATAAATATTGAAATATAAAAAAAGACAGTTTAAGAATCTGAAATATTATTTTAACGATAATAATTTTAATAATTATATATTAGTTGCCCATTTCGTTTTGTTTTTGTCACACAAAACATCTAGAACGTTCTTCTTGAAGACGTTTCTATTGAGAGATTGTGATGATTAATTAGCATTATATTATGATAGTGTGTAACATTTGACATCGGAGACAGACTCCGTTACCCTACATTATATTGATGGAAACCAGCGTCAGACGAGCGGAGAGCGAGTAGCGACTACCAGCGGACTATGAACCAACAGACAACTACAGAAGGAGAAATATATATATATATATAATGGACCGTCCGTGACACAGGAATATGTAGTAACACATCTCTTTCAACATCTGAGCTAAACTACTGGACTTAAAGTTGCCATTCAATAGACACTAAATAGAAATTAATATGTCATTCACAAAAAAATATTTAGAGACAGAATAGCTCTATTTCTTTTTTATTGTGGGATTGGCCAAACTGTTTAGTATATCTTGTCTCTATAGTAAATATTTTATTATATAGCCACTATCATGTTCGCACGCAATTTCTTAAACATTCATCGAGTCACGTCTCGAGACATACAATCATTATACCAACTCCATACATGTTAAGAAAATTAAACAACATGATTTTCAAAATCGTAACCCAGTTTCGTAGTCGGTCGCAGAACGCATTAGTTCGCTGTTATGTCATCGGGGAATATTTTAGATCATTAAATAAAGATGAAAATAAACCTGTACAATATATTTTATGTTAATATTCAAAGGGTTATTCTGAGCTGAATGAATGGCTTGCACTACTAAATATAACACCCACACCTTCACGATGTAACACGTACAAATAGATCTATCTAACGGAATGTAGATATCATTCAGGATATGAGATAAATACTGGTTAAACATTTTTCTCATCAAAGGCTGGTTCTTATTATATTAAATTTGTATAAAAAAATTTAAGTTACCGTAATACAAATACTGATTTATTCAAACATTTTAATTTAACCCTACCCTAGAACAACACAAGGGTTTTTCTATATAATGGTAAAATATGCAGTGAACTATAGATTATACAGAAGGTAATAGAACAAATCTGAAATAATTAGTTTTAATTTTAACTTATAAATTAAACAAATTAATATAAGAATCTCTCGTGTACACTCCACTCAACCAAGATGGCTTAATGCAGCTTAAATTTTTTTTTACTAATATTATTATTAAATCAATCTGCTCTCAGTTTTGTTTCTTCTCATTATACTTCTTCAGTATTTATTTCACAGAATCTGTTTTTCATCTTCAATTATTTCATCACGATACATGACCGACTGCGTCTTCAGTTACTGTTAATCTATTTGTCAGGACAACATTTATCCTTATTGTAACGTGAATAGTTGATCAACTCTTTTCATTCTATTTATCATTAGTTTGGTAAAACTCTGTATTCCAGTTTTCCTGTCAAAGTTTTCCTTGACCTTAAATAGACTTTAAATGAGGATCATTGTAATTGAAATGTCAAGTCATATGTAAAGTGTAAACATATTTTTTTTCTTTTAAATAACTTCAGTTTTAATATTTTCAACCATCCTAATCAGATTTCTAACCTTAATTAATTATCAATTTAATTATTTATACTAATAATCGTCTCTGAGCTATTTATTGGTTGACGAGATAGTATTCTACGATTATAAAATTCAATCTGACGATAGAACATGGCACTAAAACGTGTTCAATGACACTTAATAGTTTTAGAAACTCAAAACCTTCAAACTCCTTTTGGTTTCTGAATATTTAGACGTTTACATACAAGCAATACATTCTGAAGTCTTGTGAAATAGTTCAAATATAGGAATATCCGTGAGTTAAGCTTAGATAAAATAAGTAAAAAGCTACTGATTCTGAGACGGGAGAAGTTTTATTTCGCAAATCATTAATATGCTAATAAGTGTACAGATTTAGAACAACATGGACTTATTATGGTTCTACCTACTCTCTACTAAATATTAATTAAAGTAAAATAGATTAATAAATTGTTGCCAATTTAAACTTTTCAGTATATTTTTTAAATAGCCAACCCGAAAAGTTGATAATTAATAAAAATAAAGGATTCCTCATCCACAAGAATTTGTTTTCGTTAGCCTTACAAAGAAAGTACCTATTGTTAACGAAAAACAGAATACAATTCTTTCAAATTGTGATAACTCCACACTTAGATTTTGTTACCTTTTACTTCGAATATTACTGGAGGACTATTAGAATTCACTGGTTGCTCTGACAACGAATTATTTCAATGGACAACTGTATGTGATAGACCCAGACAAGGATGAGTTTCTTGGCCTATAATTGTTGATAAAACCTGAACTCTAAAGAAGTGTAATAATTTCACAGAAAAAGTTAATTGATTGATCATCGTTAAAGACAGATCGAACATCATGTTTGAGTTTTGCGACGTGGATCTTTGAAATAAGACCAGAATAACTAGACTGTAATTACTTAATAAGTCGACACGTTGATCTCTCTAACTTGTTTTCACTCGTTGTAGAACAAGTGGTGAAGATGATTTGTAACTGGTCGGTTTTCTGCCAACATTCAAAAATGTTAGTTCATATCTGTACCAGCCATGATTAATATATAACATGATATCCTATAAGTATCGGTGGTCCTAATATACATACAAAACGGTTTATTGAACCAACCCACTTGCCAAAAGTTAATAATATAAAATCCTTAACTGTGTTCTAATAAATTATTCGTAATTTTTACTTATGTGATTGCTAATATGTGTTACATTACTGACTGTCAATTTGAATCTGTTTTCATAATCACGATTAACAATGATACTCATTTGATAAAAAAGCTAGAGCGCCCTCACTCAAACAGATAAATGAAGAATTCTTTATATATTTTAAGACATGGATGTGATGGTCAAGAAGCTGCAGATTCCGGTTCTTGTAGATAATTGTATTACATATTAAGTTTTTGATTTAAAAAGTAACTTAAGTGATTAAAGAAACTACCGACTTTTATTTTGGTCATTGATAAACTGGTGGAATTTTTAAATACAGAATCCTATCGTTGGCAGTTACGAGTGTATTACTCTGTTCGGATCTGAGAACATCATGGGATGAATGTAACTAACGTCTCTCTGATTGTAAGGTACTTGTTACACTCCTTAAATAAATATTTGATGAGGGTCACGAGTACACATATTTATATGATATTGTTTTAAAGACTTTCAGTATCAGGCATAATAAATATTCAAAAGTTTCCTCCCAAGCAGACAGCAAAATAATATTTATTGTATAATGACTTTAATTCATTCAATATTTTTTTACTTATAACGTGTATATACATATTGGAAGACGAGACCGATGTATAAATAATTATTATGTGTTATTCCATTGTAATGTAATTGGTGATATTATAAATACTGGTTCGAGGCCACTAACTACTGCAACATCTCATGGATAGATGAGTTAACTACAAAGCAACAATCAATACTGTAGAATTATGACGATTGCATTTAAAATTGATTTCATTTTAAAATTATTTAACAGCTTGATAAAATATATCAAACGATTAAAATAAATTAAGAGGATTTTCGATTAAAAAAAGATAGGTTATACTTATTAATTATTATTAATATTATACCTATACGAGTATTTGAGGCAATGGGTTCAAGATATGTATGTAAAAGAAATGAAATTTGAGTCACAAAAAACGAAAAATGAAATTATAATGTGGATGTATCAAAATGTTAATAATAACATAGTATAAGTATATTCAGGGAGTAGAAAAAAATCCTTATTAACGCAAAACAATAGCAAACTGTGATCTTTTCGTTAAAAAATCGTAAAATAAAATGTATTTTAATACATTTTTATCAGATGACTAAACATTTAGTAAAGTTTTGAGTCTGTTATTCCCGGGGTTTCCCACCCTTACCGTTTTGCCAACGAAGCTATTGTGCCCAGTTTCGCTCGACGAAAATTGGACTAAAAATTTCAACTCCTACTCGTAACGAAAGCAGGTTTTTATATTTTATTTACATGAATTTCAATTCACTTTTTGATTAGTATCATACATTGTGAATAATGTATGTGTTATAATAAATCCAGTTTTCTATATGCAAGCTTTTTTAGGTGTTATTGTCGAAACAAAATTTGAATGCGGCCTGCAGGACAATTCAGTAAAATAATTACCTAATATTATCAATTAATAACATGGTTATTTTTTCAGCAATACCTAAAATGCCGGGTGCTGCTTCTCATAAATAAGTTTACAAGTGTAAGAACCAAGTGTGTGCAAGTCTTTCATTGAGTTTACCATCAAGCAATGCTAATTATCTTCTTGCCTCTTATTTGAGTAAATAGAATCAGAAATTTGACTTTAATAATTATAAACGTTTGGACATTATTTATTGGTTCCTCGAGGCCTTAATTTTGAATTTCTTCTTTTTAATGAAGTAAAAAAACCATTTAGTTTTCAATGGATAATGCGCTACATCAATTGAAGGGTTTAAAACTAAGAAAAGAGGAATCTGCTACACTTGAAGAAAAGTATGCGTCGTATGTTTAATAAATTGACTTTCACAGACCTGTACTGTCCGCACGTCCCTTGTGGACTGACTACAGAGAATGACAGCTGTAAACTTTTAGTTTAAAATGTAGGTAAATTAATTAATATTTAGGTGTGACGTGTTTTTAGTTGAATTAAGAAATAATATTTGAATTTTATTATAACTTACTATTTCATATTGATTTCAAACATGGTGGTTATTCCAATACATCTCTTAACATATAAAATATAAGCAAAACAAAAGCAATTTGAAAGAAAATTAACGTGTTTAAAATGTTTTACTTTTTTCGAGAAAGTAGGTTACCAAATTGACATCGATGTACAAACGCACTCAGAAAAACTGTACTTGTATTTAAAAATGTGATTAATATAGGCAGGGAGGTAGGTATATATGTATATTATATTTTTGAAATTTGTTACAATGATTTCATGTTAAAAAACAGGTTTTCATCGGTCAAGAGAAAGTGTGTCCGTGTGGCTGGGTGTGTGTACTGTGTAGGGTGGTGTGGCGTGCCGTGTGGGGTAGGGTGCTGGGAGGGTGTACGGGAGGGTGCGAGGAGGGTGCAGGGGAGGGTGTAGTCACTTCGCTAATTAACGCCGGCCGGTCGGGCGCGGCTCACTCTATTACGGAGTGTTTATTGTGACAATTATTCCGCCGCTCCCCGCGACCACGACCACGACCACGCACACTCACACCTAAATCAAGTTTTGGAAATGTTAAACATTCTTCACAATCAGTTAGTTCTAATGAGAACTTTAAGACTTCTTCTTGACTGGGGCCAGATTCAAATTGAATTGATAAGTATGTATGAGCTCCGAGGACTTTGTTGAAGTTGAAGTTGAAGACGAAGGCTGCTATGCTGTGACTGTATTCGTAACAAAAGTCACTGTTATGACATAACGTAACCCACCACGCATAACAAACAAAGAATGGTGGGTCCCTGTCAAATTTTCTATCTACACATCCCTTAAATTTCTTAGCTCTATTTTAATTTACATGGTTACAAGTTTTTACGTGGTACTTTACGAACACCGCTTCCTACTTTGAACATTTTTTTATTAATTTCTTATATTCTCTTGTAAACAACATTATTATTGCCTAAGAATTGAGCTGGAATGAATTAATTTCATTTATAAATACATTCAAATTTTAATTTTTTCAATACAACTAATATTATAGTCCCTATTTATCTGTTTTTCAAGATATAAAAAGTCTTCTGGCTGGTGTGAGATGTCCTCTGAATTAGAAAAAGTAGTGATTTTTAATTACGAAGTAAATTAAATAATTTACTTAAGTTTCAACTACTTGGAACGAATGTTTACATTTGATAGTTCCAAAGTGTAGCTATTTTATAAGTATGAATGGATCTAACAGCCACAGTTGGATGTAAGTTAATACAAAAAGAAGTAAAAAGATGTCCAGTGTATTTTTTATTATAAATTGCCTTTATCTTAAATATACCCAATGGTTTAATATAAAACCTATTCTGTGTTTATTTTAAAGTGACCATTTCATTATCACATCTGATTCTGAACATGTATACCTAGAGCAACTAAACTATAGTTTTAAGAAATAAAACAACTGAATGGTATATATAAAATTGTTTCGTAAATATCTTTGAAAGCTCTATTAAAGAATTGTAATAATAAGTTAATATGTACATCAATACAAATGTTAAATAACTGAATGTCACAAATTTATGACGAAAAAATATTTATAATAGATAAGATAGAAAGTTCGATAATAATTTACACTTTATAACATGGGCTTATAGAAACAAGCAGAAGTAAATAAAATGTTATTTAGAGAGCTATAAACACATTGAGATTATATATCTCCTTGTAAATTATGTGCTCGCTGGATGTAATGGTTCCATATAGCATTAGGTTGAAGACATGTATAAAAATGTTGAAAGTGTTTAGAGATGCTGAGATGCTTTGGTCGTTTAACATAATGAATGTCGACAGAATGTAAACGCTTGGGAAAGGTTTGTTGCAACCACGTAAGAAGTATCATTTAAATATTGTAAATTAGTAGTCATTCAGAGTGTTCTCGTTTTAGTTCAATTCATTACTCCTTAATTTATATAAGTATATGCAAGATAATAAATAGGTTTATCAAACAAACTAGTTCGGTTCGTTACGTTTTGTCTTGAACTTACAGTCATTTAAACGTCTAATGTCATCTCCAGAAGTGAATGAACACACGCCAGGACCAGTGCAGTGTGTAGAATCATCAGAAGGTGTCAAAGTACACAGCACCCGCGTTACATCGAGGAGGTATGAGCTGTGTGTAGAAATAATTAGCGGACATGTGAAGACAGTTACAGTGTTTTTGAGGTTCGTAAAATATGACACATCTCACCGTTCATTATAAATATATTCAGTAGAACAAAAATATAGATGATCGAAAAGTGATTTGACGAGTCAAATCAGTATCGCGGACAATAATATCACAACATATAAACGATGTTTTCTATTTGAGCATGCGACACCGTCAGCTGCACATTTTTGATTTTGCGTTATTTGAGACGATCACGGCCGTCTGTTACCGACCAGCTCACTGGACACGGCTCCTCACATGAAATTAGAAACTGCGGCGTTAGATGTTATACGCTCGGTTAGCTAGTTAGTATTACTTACAGTACAGTGTAAAACGCATATTAACATTAGAACTTAAAGTTTAGTCAACAGAATATGGAAAATAATATTACATAGTTGTTGTTGGAAAATAATGTTACAAATTGAAAATAATATTAATAATGTTGATGAATAGTATTGAATCAGAGAGAGAAACGTTTTAATGACTTATGATGTATAATGTTTAATTATATAAAAAGAAATAACGTTAAAAAGCACCACATCCACATGAGATAGTTATCTGAATCTCCTTATAAAAAATATGTAAAGGTAATAACACACAGCCATATAATATGTAAATCAACCAGTCCATGGCTGATTGACGATTATTGCATGGCGACCACGTTACTAGCTACTAAAAGATTCTACTCATTTGCAAGTTAATTCGTTGTCCATAGGAGAATGTCACAGGTAGGTTAAGCTATTGAAATATAATGCTCTGCGGAGGTCGAATTTATTTTATAGAACAGCGATAGACGACGATGATTCCGACAAACATTTTATAACAGGCTTAATAATACATTACATTCACAATACAACAAAATAATGTATTTTAAATTATCCTCGCAAGATTTACTTTAAATTTGGTATACATGCTTTTATAAAAGTTACTTGCGTGTATTTATTACACGTTTTTACAAAGTTATTAATACAAAGTAATATTTTTAAGCTGTCGAACAACAACCAGTATGCATCGTCCAAGTATGTATGTTTGATTTCTCGATCAACGTCACACTAGTAAAAGTGTTACGATCTGAATGTTTGATGAAATTCAATGGATCTTGGCTTGGCTCACTCTGTTAATATAAAAACGAAGTGATCTCATCAAATAAATGGTATGAATGTATTATAAATTGTAGACTTTCGAATGAATGTAACATGAAACATATCTTTTGATGTAATAAATGTTCTAGAGAATGCAACAGATCAATAATTTGCACAAATCATAACAACTTAATTTGGGACGAGATTGATTAACAGCCGGAGCCCGAGAGGTCGCGGGCTCGGGGTTATCAAATAAATGTATCAATAACTTTATATTTATTAATGTTACTGTTCCAATTACGTACAAATAAACTTTAATATGTCTATGTGTGTTTAAACTACTCCGATACATGTACACACATGTACATTATAATAGAACTAGGACAGTGTCTCCATCCATCACCGATGCCAAGGAATCCCGACTCATTGGATTACAATGTCAGTTCCCGAATCTCGACAGTCAATAGCTTCAAGCGAGAATTTTGTTGCAACTTGTTAATGTTCGATAATGTTGGTCGACTCATATTGTTCTTTGCTCTAATTACAATCGAGGCGGCTCAACGACACGCGACCCATTTCACACACGACACGCTGACACTAGTGTGTGTGTGTGTCTGTTTGTGTGTATGTGTGAGCGGGGTGAGAGTGTGTGAGTGTTTGATAAGAGGTCGCGCGATAACCCGGCCGAGGCCAACGAAGACTTGGCAACAAATCAGCGAATATGTCCGCTAGGTGGTCGTGATAGAGGCGGTAATGGTATGCACGTCATGATTGTTGTCAAGTGCACATCACGCGTGGGTAACAAGCTCCTTGGGACGTTTATTTTTAACTGGATCCTGTTAGTATTAATGAGTATTTGCTCGCGAGTCTGTCACAAGCATGTGTCTGTTCCCGCGCCACGTGGCCGGAGCCGCTCCTCGCCCGCTACATACACTCACACTATTAATAAACAGGAAAACAATAAATATCATGAATGAATCGCTTTCCACGTCTTGTTGGATGTGATGGGATGACGTTGTAACGAACGTGATCAAGTCTCGTACATTTGGTCCACAACCGTTTTATTATCTAATACCTACTAATAATCTCCATACTATACTTATCTATAGAATTTGTCACAACACATTGTAAGAGGTATATTTTTCTAGTGTCCATCGTGTAGGGAATGTAAAGCGTCCATTGCTCCTTTTAAAAGACACCGCAGTCTCGATATTATCGAGGGACTATTAAGTAAATTGAGCGAAACCAAATGTCAATAAAGGCGGAGCTGCCCTCGGGCCGGTTTCATGGCTTGTTGGAAAACAAAATCGAAGGGAACGTCACGAGTATTGGGGCGAGGGTGATCTCTGGTGCGACTGTGTTGTTATCATTTAATACCTTACATAATAATGTAACCGCTTGATACAGTCGGTTCATGAGGCCCGTCAGGATAGTAAGATGAAGAAGCTGTAATGATGACTCCGGGTTTCGATCGTAGACGGCACAAGTGTGTGTACTTATAATAATAAATATAAGAAGCCAGCACGGTGTCTTATAGAGCATTTATCAATATAAGATTTTGATGGGTTCTTTTACCAGAAAGTTCAGCATTCTTGAAAGTTCTTAAATGTTTCAAAACACACATTGCGTCATTCATGTTAAACAATTGTTTTATCTGAATTAGAGGTTGACACTCATTTGCTAGTATGAATACCTTCTTATAAAAATACCTCAAGCTGTACTCAGAATATCTACTGAAAAATGACATTGTCATTGACAAATATTAGTTATAAATGTATTTCGAGTCATCTTAAACAAAATTTGAGTATAATTGGTTATTGTATTTTACAGTAAAGGAAGTAGTTCTATTCTCAGTTGTCATCAAATATTTATAATTTCAGTAAATTCCATACTCACTACCTCGACCAGTCATTTCATTCGTCAATGAAAATGTTAAGTTGCGGACAAAAAGTTATTTATAAAGACAACAAAATATTCCAAAAAACATGCATTTTCCTTACAACAAGATTATATCTCATTAGAAAACAGAACAGATATAAGATTATAATATAAGCAATTATATTTTTTATTATTTAGGATCTTTCAGACACTAAAATCAAAGCAGTATTGACACTTGTAATGTAGGTATCACGTAGGTTTGCTCGTTATAAATATAATATAACACAACAAGATGAACTTAAGCTAAATAAGTTACTTTCTACTATAATTTAAAACATTATTTTACTTTTAAAGGAATGGAATTCCATAAGACTCGACCTACTCGTGGCCGGTTTTTATGCAAAATAACTCGAAACTTAATATAATAAAAAAACCATATCAAGTTGTTACATGTTTAGAATTTTATGAACAGCTTTCTGTATTAGAAAAGAATTGATATTTCAAATCTAATATACTTATTATCAGACTCCTTACCTCAATAAATCATTCATTTTTTTTGATAACAAAGTATTTTGTATTTGGTTACAAGTTTAGAGTTTTATTGAATATCATGGTTAATAAGAGAGGGACGTTGTTCATAAATCTTGTTTTATAAACTCTTTATAGTTATAATAATGATTGTACGTCTAATACAAGTAATAAAGGACGGACCAGCCGGCAGCCCCCGACTATTATTGTAATTAAGTTGCACTCAAACGAATTACCTCCGACGGTCGAAATTCGTTCATGACGCACACACACACATACACATACATAAACCTACTGTTAATATCATATCATACATGTTTGTGTGTGTGCGTTTTCTAATTTAAATATAATTATAATAATTAATTAGTGTGACTACGCCCTGAACGACACGCGTGATGCGAACAGTTCAAATATAATACAAGCCCACGACCTGCTTTAACTCACATTATTGTTCAAACACACTAACATTTGTTATTCGTATGGGATTTTTTTTGACCCAATATAGATCTTGTTTAGGTAAGCGATTAGTACAATTAATAAAAAATACAAAGTTAAATAATCGAACTAAGATAAATATGAATAAATATTGAGTCGCAGTAGGTACAGAGGGAACAAATGAGAGATTACAACTTAGACTGATATTTTCACTTTTAAATATTTTTTTTATTTACTTCGCTTGTTTAGTTACAACAATTTCTCACTCTTAAGATTTCCAACTATTAAAATGTTTCATATTCTAGGTTTCTCTCTAGAACATCTTTCTTGTAAGTTCACTCGATGTCTTGAATATATGAATTTAATAAAATATTTCTTGCCATCCTTTATATACATCCATGTTACATAATATGATAATAATATATAACAGTCTGTCATTATATACTCGTTGTGTGTAACTGTAACAGGACAATGACAGACGTCACGCAATAATAGTTATAAATACATATGACGGGTATTTAGTCCACATACAAAGTTAATTAAATTTAAACAAATCCTTGATATAATACATCAAGTGATTCATGTATATTATTGTTGTTGTCAAACAAGCTTTTTTCTATTCCTCTCATTACTTTTTTTACTTCATCTTATTATTTAAACAAAGTTTACAAATTAAACAATTTGAATATAGTTTTTGCAGTTTAAACTCGTCTCAAGAATGTGTTTTATCTGTTTATAAAATAAAGTTGTTTTAGAAGGAAGCTCATTCTCATTAACATATGGTAATGAGAGGTGTAGGGCTAATAAAAATATAAGTCGTTGATATTCGGAGGTCGTTAACGTCTCAGCTACGATCGTAGATACAAGGCATAGCTGATCATTATAATATTTTAAGATTTTTATATAAAATTCTGTAACATACAAACTGTTCTTCTGTCTATGTTATGTTGACGCTACTTTTTGTTTTTAATTCCTAGTATTGATAGTCTATATCTGTGAAGGTGCAATTTGTCATTAATTAATCGCTAATATCAAGTAATAAAGAAGCAAATGATGGCCAATCAGTTAAATTATAATTAGTTTGAGGCGCGGTGTTCTAACATGACGAATGGCAGTCGACCGCAGCCCTCGCGGCCCTCGCGGCCCGGAGGCCCGGGGGTCCGGGGGGTCCGGGGGGTCCGGGGGTCCGGGGGGCCTGGGCCTGGGCCTCGGGGGAAAACGCTATTTGTCAGTGCGAGGCTCGAGGACCGCACCCCGGCGACGTTCCTTATACACATTCATAGGCTAGGTTTAGGTCAGGAGACGCAACCATTAGAATATCCTTAGTTTCGAATACAAATCATTGTACAGGACACTTCTGTATTATGTAGTCGTAAGTATATATAATAATGTAGTTCATTATCATAACTTCATCATCATCAGCTCCGTACACTGCTCGTACGTCGTGTCAACATTTGTGTTAAAGGTGATCTAATGACATCATTTGTCCCTCGTTCTATTCATAGTAATGCTACAGGTGGCCACCGGTGACCCCAACCCCCTCCCTGCGCCCCTCCCCTCCCCCTCATCACCCCCTTATCGTCGTAGTCACAGCTGAACTACATTTTTTTAGTAATTTCAGTACAATTATATAGTAAAACCTGCATCATACTGAGATGTATGAACTTTAATAAATCGAATTAATTTATTTATTGCAGCTTTGACATTATATAAAGCAATTTTTGTTTCTAAATCGATTTTTTTAATGTAAAACACACAACATAAGTAACGTATCATGTTAAAGAAATGTACATAAATTGTAAACATGTTTTAGAATTTTGGAGATTAGGAATCAGGATCAAAAATGTTGCATGCTAAAATTTGAAAATTATAATATATTGTTAATTTTTTTTAGATCGTTTTAATACACAGAAGTTTTACTATGATATGAACAAACTTAAATACAGTTCAAGACTTCACGGCCGCCATTTTGATTTTGTTTTCGTTCATGTTATGTATTATGATTACTATGAATCTTTATTAATCCCCATGTTAAAGGTTATGAGAGGAACTATAAACATATGCGCAGTCCAGGAACCTATTAACTATTATTCACCAACCCGTACATATATTTTTTTCAAGCGTCGCGTCGTGAGACTATAAACAGTAGGTATAATTCGTTCAAGATCATTTAAACTATTTGATTGCAAAATACTTTTAAACCTGTTTGCGAGTCGACGGCTATGAATGAATTAAGTTCATAGTAGTCTGTTTGCTCGTCGACACTCATTAACAAAATGAAAAACTCATCAAATATACTAGATGCAATCACTCTCATACTCTTCTTGTTATATTAAACCGAATTAATAATAATCTCCACGCTTAATGTCTCGAGCAGTTGATATTATAAACTGAGTTATATAAAACTTTACATTAAATGCAAACATTTGAGAAGAACATTTTGTGGGTGATATCAACTAGTTTACGAAGCTAAAAAGTTTTTTGTAAGTAAATTAGGCAATTATGAAAATGATGTTTTAGTTATATAGTACAACGTACAATAGAATGATTCATTCTACTTATGAAATTATTAGATCGCGAGGTGTGAAGCTTGGTGGTGCGGTGTACACACCTATTACCATAAAACGAAGGTCGGAGACGAGCCTCTGCTCGGAGAATAGTAATCGACGATTCTCGCTTACATTTTAATATGTTATGTATAAAAAGTTGGAAATATGTTTGTGTTCAAGTTATACGTTCATAATAATAAAAATCTTATCAAATCTTTGTTATTTCTTACAGTTCTATTTAAACGTTACATCACATATATTCTGTATGTATGTATCGGTGGCGCCCTCTCACACCTCTGTCATATTATAAAGTGGACTTTGAAAACGTTATTGTAATGAGGGTCTTATGAAGTGTGTCCACAGGACATTGTAATTTCAAATGAGTGACAAAACTCTAGTATTTTTATGTGATGTATTCAATGAGGTATATTTATAATTTCCGGTTGATCTAAATTCGGCTGGCAACAGAGAACGAATACCGAGCGGCTGTCGAGGAGCTGGAATATATTATGTCATTAGATCATAGTGATACTTTACTTAGAGATCATACACGAGGTGGTGACACAATAGATGAGTTACTCTAGTTGGGTTGACTATTAATATACCGCATTTAATATCAACAAAGTATATCAACAAAATAATTGGATCACACGAAGTTAGCCGCTGTTGTTTAAGGATGTTTTTATGAATGTTCTTTATCAGTCGTCAATTAAATTGGCTTTTAATAATTTCGTTGAATCATTGATTATTATTATTTGTGTAACGGGTCGTCAAGTTATAAAAAACAAGAAGCAACACTCTGGCTAACATTGAACTTGAAACTGGAGTGCGACTTTATTTGAAAGTCAATTAGCGATTTTGGATTCAATTCGGGCGCGACGTTCGACCACGCTGACACCTACTTACAATAATATTAAAATATTCTGACGGTGGCACATCTGTCTGCGCTTTTACTAAAGACGGCTACAGTCTAACACACATCTGTGACACTGGCCTTACCACTTGTATTATGATGTAGTTCTATTAATAACAGAATCCTCTATAAATGGTCAGTTCATAGACGACCTCAACGGATGAAGTTTCTCATGATATTAAACGTCAGATACAGTAATCTGATGAAAAAGAATTGAAATGTATAAAAAGACAAACATGTAGGTATTAAATTAGGTTTTTCTGGTTTGTGTTCCTTCACAACCGTACAATTTATTGCATATCCGATTACCTATATTCTAAATTGATTATTAACTTAGGTCTTTAGCTATATTAATAATATTTATTATAAGAATATAAACTGTATTCACAAAGAGCTCGTCATCTATCACACGGATCCCCGTACTCCTGAACCCTAGAACCAACTCCTGGTTGTGCTAACACCAAACGGTTTATAAATTAACAAACAAAGTAGTCATCATTAAGATATGTAAATGTAAATGATATGCAAACAGTCTATTCATTTTATTCACAGGAAACACTGAAAAGAAAATATGTTAAACGGAGATTGGTTAAAGGTAATAATGTATGTTCATAAGGACTGGGAGTTTATAAAGTACTCATTAAAATTACGTGTGTAATAATAATAATTATTGATAAAATCAAATACTTATATTGCTTTCTTTGACACGATTACACGATTTAAAGCTGAACAAAATAGAACTGCTTTTTTTATGTTATTCCTCTTTTTATTATTACTATTTACATAAATATAATGGGCTTCTTGTGATACATATGCAAAGGATCTACGAAATTGGATAAAGCATATGCAAAGGATCTACGAAATTGGATAAAGTGTGATTTTTTTCTAAATAAAGATTACAAAATTAACAGAATCCTTAATGTTAAGTCATAACTCTTACAAAGTAATGATGTATGGTCAGTACAATCCGTTTGAACAGGGCTTGTGTTGTTTGGTTAACTGGACGACCCTACCCTGAAGAAACAAGCACTGAGAACAATATGAAATTACTGTTGAATATTTGTTTGTATACTGGCATGTAAATAAAAAAACCCTTACTATGAAATGACATCAATAACTTGTCCAATATTTTCCATATGTGTGTCCTACATACTGGACAGTGCACACAGAACTATTACAAATTAATTTTCTATATTCTCTTCTCACCATCGACAAGCAGTCTTAAAAGTCCAACACAAAATATATAATCTAAATATCTCCTGAATATCTTTTTCTATTTGCTCTTCGTGATATTCCGGAGTCTGTAATGTCGGATCCTGTTTGTGTTGATGAATTTTTCATTTTATAATTACTATTTGAATTTTAATTGAAGTATTATCTTAATATTGTTTTGATGTTCAAAGTATACGAATTGGTTGTATTCAAAGCTGGAGGGAATAAGTTTTTACTGGGAGAGTGCATTTATCATCTACAGGATCAACTAAGGCTGGATATGACAATTAACCTAATTTGATTTTCATACAGTATTGTCAGTTTGAGAAGACAGGACTAAGATTGATTTTAATGATTCTGTCAAATAATCATATAATGTTTTAATATACATATTGGTTTGAGATGGTAGACCACTCAGGTTAATGTCGGCTTATGGTTCTTCTCGTGTATGTATACATATATAAAGTAATGCAACGTTGCATTTCTGTGTCCGCATTCATATGGCCGGAGCAATCGGGGTAATTGTTAATGAAATTGTTTAATAATCATCACCAGACATCCTGGTCATTAGTTCCTCAGAAAACATCCGCTGATGCTCAATGGAGAGTGGATTTGTCGTGAGTGAAAAATATTTTAAATTGCTCTTGTAATCGAGTTAATTATAGCAAGGCATTAAAATAATAAAAATTTTAACCATTTTTTTGTGTGAGAAAATCCTAAGAAAATAATTACTATTAATTTGTTTCCAGTTCAAGAGAAAATCCTTCTAGGTAGATAAGTAATTTGTCATAAACAATTGTAATGTCACCGTTCATCTAACTTGGTGTTTTTTATTAACGTTTATGAGTATTATAATATAAGTGAACGTGTATTTTACACATCTTTATACAATTCAGTCCACTCGTTGTTGTAAATTTTGTATTCGAAGTCGAGAGTCGTGCTTCGAAATGGAATGATAGTTTCTGAGAAGATGAGACCCGATGAGAACTGAATTGTAACACGACCATATTAACATTGTACTGACGTGGAGCCGAGGAGGATAATAATAGAAACACATGCAAGGACCTTCGACGAGAAAAAAAGAATTACCTACTTTAAAGACATATTATAACAATCTAATGTAGCTAATAACTCATTAGCTATACAAATGACGGAGATTTATCTGGTTAACTTTATCCGAGTTTTACATATTATGGAAAATATAACATGCCCAATAAATGATTCCTTAACCATGGTGTAACCATCATCAACAGTTTAATATTTTTGAGACGATATGTATTTGAGTAGAAACAATACATTTGTTCGGATGTTGCGACCGGGACGTTCTTGAGATAACTCAGAGCTGAGTTCAAGGAGCACGTGTTATCACTGAATTAATTATTACAATCAAATTAGGATTCTATATGACTGGTACAGAGATTGTTTTATCGTGTGTTCTGAGTATATTAAAACCGTCCTCCTTGTTGTCACTCGGCGTTTGGTATTTTCCGATCACTGATTATTAATAAATAGTATTTGCGCTCCCGATAACGAGTTCAACTTTGATTTTATTGTTTCTTCGTTTGATTTAACTATCAAACATAAATTATAATATTTAAGATATTATATTCTCTTTGGCGGGATGTTGTATGTGGCATTCATATATTCCTGAATTGGTAATATTCATAATTTTTGTTTAAAATAATACAAAAGTTTTATTACAATAAAAACTTTAGTAATTAAACATTCTCTAATGTACCTATCTAAACGATATGTACCTTGTGTTGCAACATTTTAAGTTTATTAACAGGAGATCATTAAAATCGTCTCAGACAAATTTACAGAGACGAGACTACAGGTGTTAGGTGTGGGACATATTGAAGTCATGTAGATGTTATAAAGATAATTAAGAACA